CAAGGGGGGGGGGGAAATTACCGTAATGCCGTCGCGCTTTTAATCCGGCGGGGGAGGGGATATCAGCGCAACAGCTGCGCGTGTGTTATTGGTCGGGGTAAAGGGAATTACCCCCTCCCACGGCGATGTGACGTTACCCGGCGCAATCGCCGCACGGAAAAAAATAATTTGTCAACTTTGTAAACTAAATTTGTCTTCGTTTCGTACGGAGTGTAAAATCTTGTTTTGTACTGTTTTTGTCATGTTAATGCGGACCACTATGCTTGGTATTAAAATGTTTATTAGAAACGCGAAATTATACGATTTGGTGTTTTATCGGGGTTTTTTCCTATATTGCTTGCAGCTATCCTTCTTCATTTACAAAAATTGTAATGCCTCCAGTAGAAGTCAGTACAGGTAAAAATATAAGCAATCTCCGGTCCCTCCGGTCTGCCAACTCTGGGGGTAGCTGCTGGGCGCGGGGGAGCGTGCAAGCTCGTCCTTTTTCCTCTCTTTACTGTATTATGATAAATTCGGCTGTTTCTGTATTCACTCTCCGCGTATCGCCGATACCGGGCCAGATCCCCAGCCAGACAAGCCTCCCTGGGCGAAACAGGGCAAAGCTGCCGTTGCCGAAACGTAAATACCTCACGTTGGACCACGGAGGACCTGGGAGGACGCAGGGCTGGAGGCAGGGGGTTGGCGGGAGCGGAGCAGAGCAGGGGGGGGGGGGGGGGGGGGGTTCATACAAAGTGAGAGTGGATTACTGGACTGTTGCTCCAGTGGCAAGGGGGCGCTCTTGGTTCTCTCGGCGTGGCGTGGCGGAGCGTAGCGCGCCGTGGTGTGAGATGAGGATAGGCCATCGCGATGAGCAGCGCTGGCTGCTTCAAATTTCCCTACAGTATACAATCTCCACATTCACAAGTCGCGCCGTGGCAGCCATGCTCTGCCATCTGGGAAAACTTTTCTCAACTTTATGTCCTTTTTTTGTTATTTTTCTTAGTTTTTTGCGTGACTTCCATGAAAGACTTCCGCCAAGTAAAGAAATCTTGTTACTTTTCGTTTACACGATGGCGTTTTTGATGGGCCTGAGTCCGTCATCGCATTACGACGTGTATATGCCTCAAATTCCGTCCCCGTGCAATGAAAAAAATCTTTTCATTCTGAACGCGAGATAGGTTCCGGGCAGCGGAAGGGCATCTCTGCCGTTTCGGCTCACTGAACCGAACTCCCCTCCCTCTCGCCTGTGTCCCAGGCAATCTAGCCGTCGTTCTAACAGTAACAATCTAACTATAGTCACCACATTTGTAAGACATTTGTAGGTTTGGTTACTTTAAAGTGTTAAAATTTACCTTTGGACTTTTTAACTGTTCAAATTTCCAACGACTAGAAGTGTGTACCATAGAGTTTAACCCTGACATTTGCATGCCCGTTGCACACTTCTGTTTTTAGTGCATTTGAATGCCGCCGTCGCTCAAAAGCAGGGATGATCAAAAACCAACACTCTTATGGAGCAATGTTCCTATAACCATCACTTAAGTGGGGTGACGGAAACGGACATCGTTTAAACCGGTTTAAACGGGGCAACGAGAAATTTTGTCTCGCGTTTTTGACGAGACAGATCGCTCGAGCGATTCCAGATGTTTGCACATGGTTTTCCCAGCTGGCCTTTGTTTTCTAAGGGCGCTGCGCGACCAAAGGTAAATGGATTAAGGACGCCCCCCACCCAGCCGCCACGCTGCGCCACCCTTCCCTGCGGTCTCTGCGTCGGCCTGTCGTGAAAGGGCTCCCGCCAACTTCATTTGGGGGGGGGGGGGAGAAGTTACAATAAAAAGGAAAGACGACGAGCCTAGTCTACACAAACTACGGGACAGCGGCACTTGGTATCATGTTCCATGCGGCATCGCCATGAATCGGCTCGGGCACTTGCGTGCGACAACACGGGCAAGGGAGACGAAAGGGTGGGGAGAAGAAATCTATTTCTTCTAAAACCCGTTGCCTTCGAGGCATGCGTAAGGTCGTTTTGTAGCCGGGTAAAAGCCAGGCGCGTATTAAGGGGGGGTGCGGTGGGGGCGATCGCCCCCCCCCCCCTGTGGGCCACTAGATAGCCGCCTAAAGGTAGGCAATTTGACCTACAAAACCCCTGTATGTAGGCAACTTTCGATGCACCGCCCCCCCTGTCCGCCCCCCCTTAATACGCCACTGGTAAAAGCTTGGGGCGCTGGACAGACAGAGCCGAGCGCCGAGCGCCTGCACGGAGACGAGGTAGTCCACCCGCTCCACTGAGCTGTGCTCATGTTGCCTACCCCGAGCTGGGCGGGCGCCTGCATGCACGGGTCCACGGGGGGAGGTAGTCCGACCGTTCTATACTGCGCTGTGTGCATGTGGCCTACCCCAAGGTGCGCGGGCGGCTACAGTGGGCGAGGTAGTCCACCCGCCTTACTGCGCTGTATGCATGTGGCCTACCCAGGGCCAGGCTGGGCGAGAGTTCCTCTGCCGAGGGAACTTCCCTCGTCGAGCTCACCTCGTCGCCGTCGTCGTCATCGTAGTCGGCGTCGGCGTCGGCCTCAGCGTCAGCGGCCCGCTTCCCCAGGCCGAAGGAGTACAGCTTGTTGTCGGCCCCGCGCTTGCCCAGGCCGAAGTTGTACTGGGCGGGGAGCCTCTTGTAGAGGGCACTGTAGGAGGCGTACGGCCAGCCCGTCAGCTCGAACACGCCGCCGGGCACGGCCACGGCGCCTACGCCCGCGCCCCCGGCTGCGGACACGGCCTCGGAGACGGCGGCGGCCTCGGCGCCCGACGGGCTTGAGCCGGAGCCGCTCAGCGAGCCGCTAGAAGCCCGACAGGTCTCGGCCGCCACGAGGAGCAGCAGCAGCACGCCGCTGCCCATGCCTCTGCAACAGGAGAAAGAGCCGACATCACACCAAATGCTACAGTCACTTGCATCGGACGCCTCGGTTGCAGTTGGTGTCTTTCTCGCTTCTCGGGCGAGTGTAGGGATGTGCACTTTATGTTTTTCATAACCCGAAATTATGTGCTAAAAAAGAGGTAATTTATGTGGCGTCTCTGAGCGAATTATGCGCCAATTATGCGCTAAAAATTGCCTAAATATGCGCAATTATGCGGCCCCAAAA